CTCGCGGGACGCGGGACACGAGCCCTCAATGCGGGACAGTCCCGCGAGTCGCGGGACGGGTGGTCACCCTACTTTAAAGGGACACTGAAATCTCCAAAATATTTTGAGGTGCCTGAATCAAACATGTATGTCACTAAATAAAGTTGCCGCGAACAACTTCTTTAACTAAATAATTACGATGTGAGGCACTGAAACAATTCGAAATTAAGACTTATATCGAGTAATTAAATCCAAAATAAACATTAGTTTCGGTTGCGTTCCAGAATTCAAACGTGTATTCGGGCGCAAATATTACGCTAAACACCGTTTTTGTTTTCAGGATAACGAGGTGACCTGTGCTCCTAGCACTCTAGCTTCATCGCGTCTACGCAGAAATAATTTGTGTCGTTCAGTGAAGCCAGCACACTAGACAGGCTCGGCAGCGGTGTAGCAGCGGCACGCATTTCCGACCCTCACTATAAACGTCCTTTTGGACGTTTATAGTGAGGGTCGGAAACGCGCACGTGCGTTGCCCGTAATCGTTGTATCTGCCATTGGAAACGGACTTGTTGACTACCGTCGTTGGCGCAGCCAGGATTTTCGTCTTGGGAGAGGAGGGGGTGTCCAAACAGGATACTACAAAACGCACGACTCCGACAACTCGTGCGGCGCTCCGCTTCCGGCGGTTTTTCTTTCGCGGGGGAAACTTTCCTCCGCTAAATCTGCCGGGGGGGAAACTTCCCCCCCTCAAATCTCCCCCTCGCTATTTGACGGGGAGAAGTTTCCCCCCGGCAGATTGGACAGGGGAAGTTTCTTTCCGTGAAAGAAAAACCGCCGGAAGCGGAGCGCCGCACGATTTGTCGGAGTCGTGCGTTTGGTAGTATCCTGTTTGGACACCCCTTTAGGAGGGTTAGGAAAGCTATGCAATTTTTTAGAAACTTATTTCCGAACTAGAGCTACGGTTAAACGAACTTCGACGTGCGGTGTTGAGATCAGTGATTTCCCTACACACCCCCGAAAAGGGGTAAAGGGGGGGGGGGGGGGGTGTACAGCCCCCCCCCCCTCCGTTTTCTGAAGGCACCCCATTAATTCGCAACGACCCCTCTATTCTCAATGCCCCCCCCCCCCCCCCCTAATTTCAATTCCTAGGGAAACCCCTGGTTGAGATAACCGTGCTGCACGTGCGGCACGTTCACTGGCACACATTTTTCTTATCCATGGTGTAGTTATCCATGGAGGGAATTATTCGCGGGACAAATTGTTTGTGATTATTTCCAAATCGCGAAATTGGCGAAACGTACTGATTTCTGAAAAAAGTTGTTCCACGTAACTTTGCAGACGACAAAAGATACGGCTCCTGCGACCCAACACGAGCTGTCAGAGCCAACCACATGCCCTCCCGGTGCTGTATTGCCTCATTGCCGCTTCTCCCATCGTGTATGAGAAGAAAATTCGGCTATCTAGAGGCAAAAGTTATTTAAATTGTCTTGGAAAAAAAAAGTTTCCAGTAATGCATTTGTTAGGCTTGCCTGAAAATTAATAAAATCATCAACCTAAATACACAAAGCGAAGGATGAGAAAACATTTCAAACGTTACTCTTATATAATTATAAATTGTGATCTAATCTGAAGAATTCATCGCTCAAGTTTGGGCTAAGGAACGATCCGGATATAGTCCCACCTACCGACTTGCCGGCATAGATCCCGAGGTCATTCGGATTAGTGGCTTCAGGGATTGGAAAAGCCTCGGCACTGACGGATTGATCAGCTGATTCTGCCGATGACGATAGTGTCTGCTGAATCACCGGTTTGCGAATGCTGGGAGTTGCGCATTCCGGTGTTGATGCAAAGTCCATGGAATTCAAATCTCGACTTCGTTTTCAAGAAGCAGGTAAGCACAGGGTATTCGATTTTCGCTTCGGTGGGTTGAAGTAGTATAGTTCATCCTGGACTCTCGGATTTCCGTATCATCGCGCTCGGAACAGAGCTGATGGGAGTGCACGACATTGGTCCACAACAAATTTTAGTGCTTCGATGGGCCTGAATGAACGACCGAGAGAGAATGCGGAAATAAAGAGAGAGAGAAAGATTAAGATATATTGATATGATATATGATATTTCTTTATTTAACACTTGAGGAGAGTTTGGTCACCACAACTGGCCAATGGCTCGTACCCGTATAGTCCGTGTCACCATACAATGGAGTGAGAACGACACACTCACACAAGCACTCACACATAAATAAATAAATATATAAAAATGGAACTGAAATGAGAAGGAGGAAAGTGTACGCAGATGGAACGCGCAGCTTCCTTAAATAACTCCTTTACATCATCTCGCCTTCCAAGAAGAGAACGAGATATCGGTAAGGAAGACAGAGATGGAGAGAAGCTTTATAACCACACGCGTCCTAAAAATCCTCTTTGTACGACTTCTAAGGTGGATCCTGGTTCACAAACATGCAGTGGCGATGTATTTCTCAGTGAATGTGCAGCCTTCTTTCTTAGGAGGCAATTTCTCGGCCTTCTTTTCTACATTGTCGTTAGAGGTCGGCACGGGTATGGGCCAGCCCCCGGGCTCGGGCTTCACGGTTACATTCATGAAGGGCTCGGGCCAGACAATTCCCCCGCTAAATTTCGCGGGAAATTTCGCGAAGATTTCCCGCTAAACGGGAGGCCAAGAGAAGGGAGGAGGTGGGTACAGAGGGGTGGCATACCCTCCCCTCTGTACCATCCCCTTCTCTTCCTCAAGAGCTGCACTCCAATTTCGCATTACAGAGAATTGTAAACATCTACAACTTTTTTTTTTTTACCAATATGTTTTCTTTTTTGTAAAAAAAAGGCATTTCAGGTTAAGGAGTATGACTGGGTTACACCAGTTACACCAACGCGTTTACATATATTTTTCGAAAATTAGGAAGGGGGGCGGCAAAATGTTTAGGCTCTACAAAAGCAAAAATGTATATTCTCGATATATATCGGGATTTACTCGTAGTGATCGAAAGTAAAATGTCACAAACACACGGAAAAGTTACCTAACGAAAACCTTTATTATCCCGGCAGATTAAAAAATATATATATTTTAAATTTCATTTAAGCTGTTTTACTACGCGTAATGGCGGTCTTCGTACGATTGATTTTTGACGCGGTGTTGTATCCAGTAATTCGCCGCTACGCGCATTTTTGCGAGTCCAAAGCACAACTTCTGCTTCAATGTCCCCAATAGACCGATCTCACCAGCTAGTTTGAGTACGCCACCGCTGCCGCCATGCATTGTGGAAGCTGTAGTCTTCCTGCACGTGCGACAACCTTGCTGGAGGTCTGCACGAGCAAAGAACGATGCGGCATGAGCTGTCTCGTGAACTGGCGTCTGCCTCCTATGAACTACAGTTATGGCGGCGTCACGCATTCGTGGAACACTTGGTGATATCGGTCTATTGGTGAGAGCCGGCCGTGGTAGGGTGCCTTCATGTGCGCTCACCTTAGGCCGTGGTCATCCCGCTATGTATACGTCATACAAAAGAGTCTGCAGACATCATCTGAGGCGTGTTTCTTCTTCGTATGACAGTCCTGTCAGTTTGGTCATAGACAACAACTCTGTTTTGGAAGCACGTGTGAAGCAAACAAGCTCAGCATATGCTTATGACATCGTGTCTGCAGCGGTGAACAGCTTGTCTTTTGTATGACGCATACGAGTAGCGTGGCTCTCCAGTGAAAGTATGCCACGGCCCCGCGGCTCACGAGCCTCTCGATAAGGACCCGATTCCATATGTGCGGGAGGAACGAGCTTGCCTCGCACGTTATCGTAGCTCAGGTGAACGGGTTTCTCACGTGAACGGGACGACGCTGCGCTCTATCAGTCCTTGACCAGAGTATTCGTCGCGGCGCCGTAAATACACCCGCGGTTGTGTTTGGCTTTCGAGCGTCAGGCAGATAACCCCGGTTGTGTTTGGTTTTCCGGCAAAGTCATTGCTGTTAGGTCACTGCTGTCGCTTTACGGTTGCTTAATCATTCGATTCATGGGGAGAGGGGGGTGGGCGCTATTGATACCGAGGAATGACTGTTACGTTTCATGTTTCGTCAGATTTTATCTGGTAAAAATAACGAGAACAATCGCAGGATAATAACTGGCACTCGGTACAACTCGAGTATCAATTAAACTGAAATTGGGGTAAGGTATTGGTCGGACCGTACCGCTTGTGTCAGGATTCGTTTGAGTGAGGTTAAAAAGGTTCTTTCAAACTCAGAACAATAAAACGCTCCTCCTCTGGCGGGCACAATGAGGAGGCCACTCAATGACGCATTATGAGGGTAACGTCATGATTTCACGTGACGCCATGATGTCACCCCGAGTCGTGGTCAATGTTACTAGATTACCTCAGTTGTGGAGCTCACTCACTCCTCACTCACTTCAGCCCGCCGCCGCCCTTAAAGCTTTACGTCGGAAGGTGTAACCGACCAGGCAAAAGAAAGGCGCGCAAACGAAATCCGTCGGTAGCAAAAACGCCGTCGTTATAAAACTGCGTTAAAAAAAAAAAAAAAAAAAAAAAAACTTTGTTAGTTAGTTTTGCTATCATTGTTCGCATTCATTTTTATACCAAAGGTACATTGCAATAATATTATGTCCATTTTAATAGACCACGGTCGTCGCGAGAAGTGTCGATTAGTCTCGATTAAATTTCGATAAAAAGGTAGCGCCATCTATCGATATGTGCGCCAAACGCGCCCCGCCACTCGACTTGGTCGTCTGCTTCGTCGTCCGCCGTTGAACCTGGCAAGTTTCTTGGCCCTATTTCTTTTTTTCTTTTTAGAAAAATGGAGCTAGTCTTTTTAGTTTTGCATGGTAAAACCCACCCGCGAAGTACACCTTTGATGAAAATTTTAGATTGCTACGTACAGGCGCCGATTTTCACGGCCCATTTTAGATGCAGCCTCTGTATTTCAAACACCCTTTATAAAAGCCTCCGCAGAAGCCACGTTGCCTTGTGATGACTAGCGCTACAGTAAAACAGATGCTCGAGATTCAGGCGTAACTGTACAACTTTATTTGAAGACAAGCAGGCGAACACAGGCGACAGCACGGATTTGTGAAATAGTTCGGCGCCTCAACAACAGGTCCGAAACTCGACAAAGATGAAGATGAAAAAAAAAAAAAAAGACTTTATTTACAAAGGGTTTTTAGTGATAGATGAAATGAAATGATGAAGGCGTTATTACGGTCAGTGGCTGCAGCGGAATAACATTAGCTTTCACTTTCCTCCCTCTACATCATCCGCAAGAACGCAGTAGGATCCTACACGGTCCAATGACATCTCCACCGCCCCAAGCTATAACACTGTAGGCACGCGTGTCAGGACTTTGTGAGGGGTCCCACTCTCACTCGGTGCTTCGTGAGGGGCCCAGTCTCACAGTAGCGGTTGACTGAGTATTACTGCCGTGCGGTGGAGTACGACGAGAGGAAACGGCGCATTAAACAATGTAACCATTCGATTGAATCAACTCGCAGTCGTGTCGACGTACTGGTTAAGTGTGGTCAAACGCTAAGTGTGAACGGGCCTCGAGTCTTCTAATTTACCATGCGTTTTGCCGGCTAACGGGAGTATCTTCTTTATGCTTTACTGATAGAAAAAGAAAGAAAGAAAAGAAGTAAGATAAATGATTTTGAACCGGATTTCTTTGAACGCTTCAGTACGAACAGAAAGTTATTACATTTTAAACGCTCTTTAATTTTAAGTTGAGGGATAAGCTAAAATTTTGGACCACATTCAGCGCATTTAGTTTAGGGCAGACCGTGTGGCCTCGACGACACCCTGCAACTATTGAATTAAGTATAACTTATACCTGTGTGTAATGAATTCTCGTTGGAGGCCGGAGATACTACAGAATTGCTATGGCATGTGGTAGAGTGATGAAATGCACATGCTGGCCCTTTCTGTATCTGCTGATTTTGGTTGAATACTGCTAGACATGCCAAGGGTTTTAATTTCCCACAAGGTGAGAACAGGAGCGTTACGAACTTATGTTCGTGACAAACGATACAGATCAACAGGTATACCCAAGGCAGCATGGATAAAGACAACACGCAGAGAGCTCTATTGTCTCTGATTTGGAATGAAGTGCTTAGGAGTCGCAGCGTCATCATGAATGATCATCACCCGAAGCTGAATACCCAAAACCTCTCGATGGATCGAAAAAATACCAAAAGCAAAGCTGATTGAAACGCATTCCGGGATTGTCTTTTTGTGTCATTCGAGGAAACACTCCGCGCGCATAATTTTGGGAGTATCTGCTATAGCCGTGTCGCGAATTTTTCGATGCCAATTTCGAAGATCGCTCAGGGCATGTTCTTGCATGTTCTTCGGAAACGGAGCGACTACGATTCGGCCGTGCGGAGGGGTGTGTCGGTCGCTATTTTTTTCCGTCCGAGGGTTCCCGGCCGCCAGACTTAATAGAAAGTGGTGATGTTGATGGGATGCCCCAACAGGAAGTAGTTGGTCGGTAGGTGGTTCACTTGTGCCAGATCTGACGAGCTGCTGTCAAAGTCGTCCTCTTCGTCTTCATCCTCGCTCAGGGGTGGAATGTAGAAGGGGTCCTTGTCTGAAACGTTGTTAGAAAGGCGCAAGTTTTAGACCAACACGCTGCCTACAAACAAGTCTGCGTTTTCCCACAGCAGGTTCGCACGAAGTGAAGCGCATGCACCGTACCTACACAGAAGCGCCACCACACTGCCGTGACGGCAGAGGCGCGAGTTAATGTATAAAAACAAACAAATATATATATATATGTATATATGTATATATTTGTGGCAATGCAGTCAAATTTATGGGTGCCCATGCGCTTGCGTACATATTGAGCGCCGACCAAAGCTGTGCAAACGCACTCTTTAACCCTTTCCACACACACACCTGAAGGATTATTCTAGAAAGCGATAGAGTTCTGCAGCTCCTGCAAAAAACAGTGGGCGAGAGATAAAAGAAAAAAGGGGAGAGATATATTTTTGTCATGGCCATCGATCTCGACATTGACTCGGAGCAGGTGGCGACGACAATATATGTCCCACGTGCGGTCGGATCAGTTATTTCCTTTACAACTCGTTGGCTTTCTGAGCGGATGTTAGAGGTACAACAAAAACACCGCGTAGCCAAATTTAAAAAAAAAAAAAAAAAAAAGAAAGAAAGAAAGAAAGAAAGAAAGAAAAAAAACAAAACAATCCCAAAACTTTTGGCTAGGCTGTTAGATGGAAAACGGAGGAATCCCGTCCTTGATGGACAAGATTTATCCGTTCCCCTCTTTCTAAAACGAAGGGTCCTTGATGGTTTACCGCGTGATGTGGCTTGGCGTTTTCGTCGCTTTCATGCACTTTTCACTTGGATACACAGAAGTTTACTAGCTGAGAAGTGGTCGCAAGCTTCGAAAAAACAGTTGATAAAACCTACTGATTCTATTTCACCCACATAATTACAAAGCTTTTTGACGTACGTACGTGAGAAAGGGGAAATTTCCAGGTTTAAAGTGCCAGGGTTTAACGCTTTGTAAAACTATTAACATAAATAAAATACACCCGCTAAATTAACTTTGTATTTCAATTACTGCTTTAGACCCTGGACAAGCGGTAGCCTGCTCGCAGAGAAATTATCGTTGTCTTTCGTACGGCCTCGACCCTTGTCATGGAGAGTTTAACGATTAACTGGTTATGTTCTCAGTATGTTCGAATTCAGGTTTCCTATTGTTTTGACACCAGCCTGACCCAACTCTACAAAGGGCATTGGCATTGAATGTCTTATGAGTTATGTCCGGATGACAAAACTGTGTTAAAACCGGCAAAGGAAATAACAGATGGCCAATCTAGGGTGGACGTTCAAACAATTAATCAAAGCTGAGAGCTCATGCGAAAAACAATACTGTAAGAAAAAAAAAAAGGTGAAGGGACTGTTTTTTTTATTTTTTTCGCTGAGGCTGACGAAAATGTAGCGCACTAACCCCTTACCTCGCAGTTAGTGAGCTACATTTGCTAATTACATTCTTTCTGGAATCCCAGATAATTTTAAGGTTTATAAAATATTTTGTTTTCGTAAAACTGGTGAGAAGTGGTTATTGGCGGTAAAGTCTACGTTACCGAAGTTTGTCACACCAACAAAAAAAAAATATATATATTTTGGACAAACAATTAGGAGGGTGCGACAAAAGGCGATTAGAGCCACCTGACTAGGCTTTATCCCCCTGTATCGTTAAGCGGTAGAGTGCGCAGAAAAATAAATCAAATAATCAAAGTGTTACTACTCAAAAATACTAACACATATGAAAATTATATAAGTAATGCACGAAATAAAACACACTGCGGAACAATAACGGTTCTAATAGGCCAAAAATTATTGAATTTTTTTTTTGAGACGGCTTTAAGTTTGTTTATTTTGTTCAAGCTATTAATCATCAACATGAATAATGGGTTGGTGTTTCATAGCTGCGCAATTTAGTAAGATAATTGTTTCAACCATAGTGTGTGTCTGCTCTTGATTGGAGGCAATACGTGTTGTGGAATGTGTAAATGTTCTATAACATTTTAGTTATGGCAAGAGCACTGTTCTCCTTACTACGCAATTGTCAGAATTATCTCTTTTTGTTTTTTCCTCCTCGGAACTTGCATAACTGAGAAATTATGAACTTTTTTGTGCGCCCATGGGTGTATGTATTTGGAGAACTAAAAAGGAAAGGGGGGGGGGGGGGGGGTTAAAGATACTTTTTTACGAGGACAAACTAGAAATACTAGTACAGTATCGCTTCACATCGTGAACAACGTTTTTCATGGGCAAACAAAATGCTTCTTGAAGCAATCATACGAGAAACACTTGAAAATATAGTGCACTAGCAGAACCGCATGGAGAAAGTAGTCTTTTCGTGCCTGGCAGTTGTTTTGCCAGTGTGATTCTGGATCAAAAGTGCCATGGACTAGGCGACCTGAATGGAACGTTGCTCACCGCAAAGACCTCGGTAGGAAGTGGCTGACTGGACCAGGCCAAGTTTGCAGGTTGCGTACGGCGACTTTTCGTACATGTCCCCGCCGATAATGTTGCCCCTGTGCAGAGAGAGGGATCGATAGAAACCTCGAGTGCTTGTTGTTTGGGAAGAAAATGTGTGTACAACAGGTAGGCTTTGCATTTGTGGTCGTCAATATAATTTGCCGCTCTAGGCGAGAAATAAAACCAATCACAAAATAACGATAAATCGTTGCGTTGCATGTATCCGCAGGTGTTGAATAGACTGTTAGAACAGGTGTGTTCTGTTTGGAGATGCGAATGAGACATGTGGTAACGCGTCACAATTTCTAATCAGGTTTAATATGTTAAGAGAATGTATATAGGTACAAACAAGATGGGTGTTTTTTGGTATGAAAATTATTATAAAAAAGCTCTTCAAATATATAATAATATAATTTAATCGGGATAACGTTGTTATCGTACGGTCGTCAGGGGTTGAGTGTAGCGTGATGGACAAAAAGTCAGTTAGTACAAATTAAAATTCTAGTACTCAGATTCCGATCCGAGACATTGCCACCTTGCGAAGCGATATAAACATTTCATCCTATATGATGTGTTCATTTTGTACATTGTAAAGAAATTTACATAATTTGTTCGCTCATTAGCGCATCACCCTCGTGCCTTGACTGATGACGAGGTTATCCCGAAGCCTTATCTGGAGTGTCTTATAAGAAGAACAAAATGAGTGCTCAGTCTAAAAACAGCAACAACAATAGCACCATGCTCGTTGCCAAGACGGCTTCGAAACAACAACAGTGTCAGAGCTGGAATCACTCCCCGTACTTCATAATTTGCCCCGTCATGCCCGCCGCTCAGGCATCCGATAAATTGTTGTCTGTCGAGAGCTTTGCTTGTACGCTTGCCAAGCAATTGTGCGAGTGCCGCGTCCGCTCCGTCACTGCGGTGCGGGGCGAGATAATATGTATATCACCTATAGGGCACTCACCCCGGTCCGTAGTTGCACACGTAGATCTTGGTCAGACCCCGGCCGCTCTGACGGTAGTAGGCATAACCGCAGCCCACCTTGTAGGTGTCGGCCCAAACCAACTGCGGTATAAATAATAGGCGTATACAATCTGCAGGAGATATCACGAAGGGTTTTACGAAACTGACAAAGAACAAGCTCCGGGAAGCCTGGCTGATTGCACAAACTAACGTATGTTGCTATTTGAACGGGACGCTCAGAATCTCAGGAAAGGGGCCGGTCGCGAATGTAATCCCGATGCATGATTGTATAATTCTGGATTTTTTAAACGCGCTTCAAACGCGTAAACTAAATTATCGAAAAGAAAAAAAAATCAAGACGTATTAAACATTTAGTATAGGCTGACCGGTCGGTTACTGAGTGATACCAAAAAATTTGTCAATCAAATCGCACACGAAAAAACAAAACAAAAACGAATCATCTTGATGATTTCACTTTTTTTTTATGATTAGAGACGGATTGTCTGCCGTATACAGCAGCAGTTGCCTACACTTGTACCACATAAAGTCTCTAGATAAGAGCTTTGTACACGTAGTGACATTCTTTGATGCGCCGACTGCGTGACGGTGCAGGTTTTAGGAAGCGAATGGCGGCACACAGCAGAGGTCTGAACCGAATGCCACCTTTTTTTTTTCAGCGGAATGTGCCTTGTCATTTGTATTGGTGGTCGTTACTTGTAAAAAAAGGATCAAGGGACTTTAGTTCCACCGAGTCTATTGGTGGGTAAAGGCTGGTTCACACACTTGTGACTGCTTACGACTGAGTGCCTTAAAACTTCTTGTGACCTCTTACGACAATAGAAGACACTGGCGTCATCTGTCGGCTAGCTGTGGAACACTTGGCATTCCCGTATATTTCTTTTTTTTTTTTTCGTTCATCATTCCTTTTTTTTTTGCTGGAACAATCTTTTGGTGGTACAGTAAAACCTCGTTATAACAAAATGGGATATAACAAACTAATGGATATAACAAAGCAATCATATTTCCCCTTGCTTGCTAATGGTGGGAAGAAATGGACATTGGCTATAACAAACGAATGGTTATAACGAAATAATTACGACCGCTCCTTCAACTTTGTTATAACGAGGTTTTACTGTATATGAACGAAAATTTCTCATAGATAGTACGCACATTTGATCTCGTAAATACCGTGAAACCTTCGCTTTAGTGAAATGCAGTTTCAGGGTCACTTCATAGATGGCGCCAGCGTGCCAGTGTTTTCTCACCGTAGGAGACCAGAAGAACTTGGTCAGAAGCAATTGCATGTTTGTGAACGCGCCTTGAAGGGGCCATGAAATGAATTTCGGGCTGGGGTAAATGATTTTCGATTGGGAGTATGCTAATCGCATATCGTTCAATGGGCCGAAAGAAAGAGGGTAGAAAGTCAAAAGCACGCTCATTCGGCAATAAAATTTGAAAATATAGCGGACTATTTCGTGCCTCCTTTCCTTCGAAAGTTCTCCGTCTTTTCACTGCGATGCATCTGCGGTATCCAAAGCATGTCAGCCGGACCCAGCTCACGCACTGGACACGAACACTGCGGTTCACGACTAAGCTGACAGTGCGGTGGGAGCTACGCGCTTGCTGAACCATTCAGCCGCCTCCCTTTCATCAGCTGACCCCATTTTCTGCGTGTGGGTACGCGCGAGGGAGCGTGATCACCTGGCAGACGATAGAAGTGTGACTGGCCCAACGAGCACGTAGCTTCCACAGCACTGTGAACTTAGGGGTGAACGGAGGACAGTTGCGCGCAGTACTACGGAAGCCAGGGGCGGGAGAGATCGCTGAATTAATATCGATCTAATATAACAGACAAGCCCAAGAAATGGGTGCATATGGCACAAGCTGAGATCACAGTGCAATACCGTAAAGGTAAGATATCATATAGACCGACCAAATTATAGACATAAAGAATCAATAACCTATGCGAGAATCGACGTGCAAAATAGAAAGCTGGATTTGTCCCTTTCATGTTAATTTTGCACCGTTGAAAAATATGTTTAGCAACGTACCGGGTAATTCTCAGGCCGCTATAGTTTAAGTTCAAGTTTGAGTTTAATTAGGTCAAATGCATTGTCAAGGAGTTACATGAGAAGGGGGGGGGGGGGAGTGTTTTGTAAACGAGCCATCAAACATACGGCTCGTCCGACGCTGTCATTAGGCAGTACAGACGCAGCTGCGCCGACATGGCTTTGCCCTTTTTCATCATTGTCCTTTACAAAATTCTGCGTACGCCTCGTTGACGTATTTTCAGACATGCTTCGTAAAACGGTCCCTAAATTTTTATCGAGACCACAAAACCATTACAAAATGTCACAAGTGTGTTGTATTGGTGCTGGATGGACGGATATATAGTTGAATAGAAACGGCCGAATTCTTTGAACCAGGCGGCAGCCTAGGACACCTAGCAAGGTTTTACCTTCCACAGTTAAAATATATACGTATACTACCCTGACGCGCCTTAGCGAATGACAAGATAATTCTTTATCCCTCTGGAAGGCAGTTAGAAAGATGTTTGGCAAGGCGTTTGAGGGCCGCCGTTTTGTGGGTTATTCTCGCAAGTTAAAGTAAGAATACTTTAACTTATACTGGTTGTAAGGAAGCCAACAGGTCGTGCTATTTTAAGTCCCAAGACACAGTGAAAATGCACGCGTTAGTTATTCAAATGCCAGCCAAAATACGGATCGCCTGCGTGCTTTTCTTTCAAAATAGCCTCTAGCAGAGCATTTGCTATAAACAGGGGCGGATTTAAGGAAGGAGCCTCGTAGGACAACTTTTAATAAAGGCAAGAACGCCATACATCAGCCTTTTTTAATAAGAAATCATAAGCCTTTGGGGAAGTGACAAATATTAGGTGACCAAAATAGATCTGGGCGACGCTTCGCCAGTGGCGTCACATCCGTCCGTGACGCCAGACCTCTGCAGACCCCCCCCCCCCCCCCCCCCCCCCCCTTTTTCTTCCTTCCAGCCTGACCCATAAATCCGCCCTTGCACTATGCTGCAGTGTTCGTACTAGGAAGGCTTGTCGCGTAATACGTACTTGCGTGAAGTGTCCGAGCTTCTTGCTGAACTGGAACGGGCTGATGGCTGAGGCCTTGAAGTTGAACTGGGTGCACTCGTCGTACCAGGCGTAGATCTGGGAGTCCCAGTCGGGTTCGTCCAGGAGGTTGTCCTCGTACTCGTAGGTCCAGGTCAGCGCCACGTTCTGGCCCACGTGGAAGCGACCTGCGGCAGCAGACGACACGTCTCCAGTCACCAAGCATCCACGTGTGAGCGGTCAGCGAGAACAACGCGTGTTCAAAATTTAAGATCAAAGAGGTCATTGCAGCTTCTTCAAGAAGACCTCTAGTGGGCGCATGCTGTAAGAGCGTTTCATCCTGTCCAATTTCTCGGTCAAAGGCTGGTTCACCGACTTTGCGAAAACCTTTTGGGATTTCTCACGACAAAATAACATACTCGCGTCATCTATTTGGTAACCGTGAAACAGTTGGCACTTCCGTACATTTTCAAATTTTTTTCGGGCATCATTTTTTTGGCTTGGAAAACCTTTGACATTGTTCTAAACCATAATTTCACATAAATTTGTAGATTTAATTTCACAAATACTGAAAAAAAAATCGCTCAATTGAGATGCAGTTTCAGGGTCACCTCATAAATGGTGACAGAAAAGCCCAGAGACAAGGAGCAAAAGGGACAAGAACAACACCTTCTCAGAGTTCTTGTCCCTTCTGCTCCTTGTCTCTGGGATTTTCTACTATGATTCGTCACCAGCCGGCCTGCGTCTTTACTCTAAATTCCAGCCTGCCAGTTTGTTCTCTAGTCGTAAGAGATCACAATAGCCCGTTCTTAAGCAAACGCAGAAGGTGCTTGAAAACCAGTTTTCAGCCTGTTGTGGCTACTTACGACAGGCTACGTAGCAGCGCAGCCGTTCTTAAGCGGACACAAGAGGCTTAAAAGCCGGTTCTGGCGGAGTCGGTCGTAGCCAAACGCAAGTGTGTGAACCAGCCTCTTTAGAAAGTAGCCTAATCAGACTAGAACATACAAGGCGATTATGAAAGAAAGTATCACGATAAAAAGTAACCCCCGTCCCTCCCCTCTCCTCCCCAGTTGCACACCTCCTTTCGGACCTAAACTGATTTAAAAGTCCCCATATAGACGTATAGCCACTATGATTAAAACGTACAGCACACAAAGACAGGGCAGAAGAAAGATTAACTTTAAAGCGTGTCATTGGGTCTTTTTCGTGTGCGTGTCTTTTCTTGTTTGGTCGTCAAACATAGTGCTGTGCCTCGACGATTAAACTTCAGTTGTAATTTCAGCTATTGCGTGCCCCGTTTTTTTCTGTCCTGTCTTTGTTCGCTGTACGTTTTAATCATCATGCCTTACCAATACGCCCAAGCTTCCATTTTGTGTAGGTACAATCAGCTGATTATGAGACATACAATAAACTACATGTGATGATGCCAAAAGTCGCTTCTCAACAAGCAGCGAGAAAAAATAAAGTGGTTGCCGATGAGCTGAAAATGTTTAAAGTATGAGATTGCTTCTCGCGCATGAGTTATGGTGACGTCAGAGTGACGCCGAGCTCTAATTGGCTTTGATTAGTTGAATGTTTTGTAGACCTCAATGGCTAGATGCCTTGAGGTCTCCCCACTATTTTTTTTTTTTCAATCAGCCAATGAGAGTTTGGCGCACTGACATCATCGCAACCCCTGTGCAAGAAGCAGACGAACTTGCACTCCGCGTAGATTCTGTTTCGTTTAGTCACTGACCAGTTAAAACACGCAGGGTGTGGCTCATTATATTCACGCTTTCTGCTTCGTGATTGGTTCTTCGGCATTTTTATCGGCTCATGCCAAAGTCTGATTGGCGGTGGAAGTTTTCTGACGAGAAGACGCCATTATACTCACGAACGCTTCGTTCCTTGTCATGGCCGTCCGTGCACTGATCTGCCCAGCGTTGCGCGATAACAGCCAGTTCGTCGTCCCAAGTCTGCAGTAAAGAGCACAGCGCGTTAATCAAACGTGCGTGTGAAACATTTTGAGAATAGTAAGTTCATCAAAACCTTTGAATATCTTTCACCATGCATGCTCGAAAGGTGACCTGTAATGGTGTTAACTTAATTAATCGTGTCATTTTTTCAGCTTTCTGGTGTTTTCTGAGTACGCATATGAATGGCGTGAAAAAACATTTATTCGTCTTGGCACTAATTCTGAATGTGAAAGACATAGACCTATGTATAACAGAACGTTTTCACAGTTTCACAATCTTGCCGATACTAAATCGAAGATACCATTTTTAGATCATAGTGTACAAAGAATGTCTTCACAGCTATATGGGGACTTTACCCCATTGGTTAAACTCTGCGTTCGGTGGAGAACTTGCCTCTTGACAATTAGATGGTTTTTCAGAGTCTGCTTTAAGCAGAACGATCATAGACGTCAGCTTAGTGACTGACGAGCGCGCCTCTTTGGTCCTTTTTGTTTTCTGGCTTGGATAGTGTGGGCATTGTAAAAACACAACAAAAGAATAAGACATTTGTAAGACATTTAATAGAGTGCAGTTAGGCGTAACCACTGTCATAAAATTTTTAGCGTGATGCGGTTAAAAAAAGAACACCGCAATATTATTTAGACGTTTTTTTAAACCTGTCACGGGATAGCGGTTTTGACGATGATCATGCCTAGCGGCACTTTATATGGAATGTTTAAGCGCTCGACCGAAGGCTGGCGGCCAGCTGTTTTTCAGGCCTGCGTCGCAGCCGGCTGAAGATATAGGCCAACGATATTGTGCTGCGAACGTTTCTATGTAACCGGTTTGATGCATGCTGCGAATCCGGGGGGACTTTACGCCGTGACTTCTACTCTCACTTTGTTTCTCTCACTCTCTCTCGGTCTGTTTATAAGTGTATATCGTATAATACTCGTATATGCATATGCATGCTTGTGTGCAAATTAATAAAGATCAAGCAGAACGCGGGCATGAGATTCGCGGACAATAGTGAGTTTTAGTATTGCGCATAGGAGCGTGTTCCACACTGCGCGTGCGCGGAGGCCAAAGTGTGGTCTCGAAATCGTGCATAGTAACGACGCGCATACGGAGCGTGGAGCACGCAACGCTAACACGAACTCACAGCGCTTGCGTTTTGCTCCAAGACGCAATACTAAAACGCCCGTTAATCATTCAAAAGAAAAAAAAAAACAAAAAAACACTGTGATGTCGTTGAGCATCAAAACCCGTCGTATGTTCGCGAAAAAGAGAGACTCCTTTTGACTTCTTTGCGTGTTTATTATGAGCTGTATATCGTTTTATCCTCGTGATGCAGAAAAACAAATCTGCAATACCATTTAGTTATTTTAATCGCTTCAATTGTGTCTGAAAATGATCGATCAAACAAAATTTAAAGTATTTGAAGCGATCGCTTGGGCTTTGTTTTATTTGTATGTATTTGGGGCGTTGATGTGATTGTGAACATATTTGACATTTTGTTTCACCGCACTCAGTTCTTGCATTAGAGACACACCTTAAAAAATATATATATTCTTTAAATTTAGTAATTGAAATAGTAAATTTACCCCTGTTGAAACAAAACAGCTTCCCCGTTGTGACATGAATACTCTAAGATCACCAATCACTGGAAAGAAACAAGAACTTCTCATTCCAAAAAGTGAAATCATTCAGAAGCCATATCCGAGAAGATCACATGAGACAGGTCAGATATTATAAAGCGACATGGAGGACACTTTATAAGCCGATGTTCTGAGTCCACAGCGAGGGGGCGACGTCGTTGTGCGCCCCCCTTTCTCTCAGAGATCTGCGCATTCCGGCAAGGTCAGAAATCAGTCGCTCCTCGAGCCGAACAGCTTCCTTGAAACTCGTCCAAGGGGATGGCTGTGGGATGACTCGGTCACGAGAGATATGTCGGAGAGGAAAAGGGTTTGTGCCCCTTGCAGATTTATATTTAGTGGCCCGATGGGGCTCCCGTCTTGGCACCGGCACCAGGGCGTCGTCGGTCTTTGTTTTGAGCCCACGGACGCGTCAATTGGGATAGTGTACTATATTCGGTGACAATGTTCTCTGTCTCAAGGGCAAGGACACGCAGGAGCTCAGAATGGGCTTCCTGATTTTGGACGCCAGTTTGCATGGAGCGCCAAGAATCACGCGTTATTCGCATATGTCGCAATTTGCAACATCTTTCTGGTGAAAAAAAAAAAAAAAAGTAAAAAGCGGCAGAATTTTGCTTTTATCAGGCCAAGCAATTTAAATGGCGTCCCAGAGATTTACACAAATGGCTACACCCTTTCTGCCTCCTCACCACGAGTAATACAAGCTGTATAATTGAAAAATAAATAGTGTGCGTTGCGTGGAACATTCCGCATTCGTAAAGGGCGTAAAATGGCGTGGAAAAGAGCTACGATGAAGTGAAAAGAACGTCCTTTTTGAAGGGTGCCCATCGCATTGGCACCTGCTTTAAAGAGGTTTATCGCACAGTCATTCAAGAAAGATGTTTTTGGATTTTAGAAGTGCTGATGATGTAAGCGTACTTGATTGCCTTGAACAATCGTTTGATGATTTTATGTTTCTTTACCAATCAGATGCTAGCCCAGACACGTTATGGGACTATTTTTCAAGCATGACGTTACGGTGTATTGAGCGATTTATACCAAAGCGCCCTAAAATCGCGAACAAAAATCCTTGGATTACAAGGGAAATAATCCACGCAAAACGACAACTGAAGCGGAGACGAGCGAGTTCACATGGTACAGGTGTAGAAAAAAAAACTTGCATTCAGCGATTGAGTCGGGAGCTGAGGCGTCTAGTTAGAGAGTCTAAAGAAAGGTTTTATAGTATAACACTTAAAAAATTCCTTAGCGAGGCACCTGAGAAGTTCTGGCGGTACGTCAACCCTTCGGCTAAGTTCCAGCAGCGTGCCTCTGACCCAAAAAATGAAAAGCAGAGCGTTGAAAATTTTAGCACTTTTTTTTCATCCGTTTTCACCAACGATGATGGAAATTTGCCAAGCTTTAGTGATTCTTCCAACAATCCTCCCATCAATAACTTAGATATAAGTGAGCAAGGAGTTTTTAACCTTCTACTTAACATCGACTCAAAAAAGAGCCCAGGTCCAGACGAAATTCCGAATGAATTTTTAAAAAGGTATGCTGAGTGGGTTTCTAAATACCTTACTATCATCTTTAGATTGTCTATGAGTAGCGGTTCTTTTCCCAGCGCTTGGAAAATAGCAAAAATTATTCCCATCCACAAGAGCGGTAGTGTTAATGACGTCTGTAACTTTCGCCCCATTTCCCTTACTAGTACATGCTCAAAGCTCCTTGAACATATCATATCTAAACATCTACTGGCTTACCTTGAAAAATATGACATATTATTTAAATCGCAGCATGGTTTCCGCAGAGGTCTTTCCACGACTACCCAGCTCATAGAAACTGTTCATGATCTCTCTCAAAGGATAAACTGTCGTGGTCAAACTGATGTAATATTCCTAGATTTCGCAAAGGCGTTCGACAAAGTATCTCACCCAAATTGCTATTGAAAATCAGTGCTGTTTTTAAGAATCCAGCCATCACGAAGTGGTTTTCCTCTTATCTTTCATCACGGAAACAGTACGTTAAAGTTGGGGGTAGCAAATCCACTATGTCCCCAGTTGTTTCAGGCGTACCCCAGGGCAGTGTCTTGGGTCCTCTTTTATTTTTGATTTACATTAACGATCTGCGCAATGACATCTCGGTTCCAATCAGACTATTCGCCGACGACTGTGTGATTTACAATAAAATTGAAACATCGGCTGATCAAGTCGAATTAAACTGTAACTTAGAAAAAATTAAAAAGTGGTGTCAAAATTGGCAAATGGTGCTAAATCCTGAAAAATCTGTCTTCATGTCTATTACGAGAAAAATAAATGTTTTGGCTTATAATTATTGCATTGCGGGTGCTGAGTTGGAGAGAGTTAAAGAACATAAATACTTAGGCTTAATATTTACTCCTGATCTAAAATGGAACACTCACATTGATAACGTATGCATCAAAGCTAATAAAGCACTGTGGTGCCTTCGACGAAACCTCGCTATTGCAACTCCTGAAATAAAAAGTCTAGCTTATAAGTTATAAGACACTGGTAAGACCCGTCATCGAGTATTCTAAAATTGTATGGGACCCATATACCGTCACAAATTGCAATAAGCTGGAGAAAATCCAGCGACTCGCATCCAGGTTTATTTTTAATAAATACAGCCACGTTCATTCCCCCACAAAACTATGTGAACTTGCCAATCTTCCTACATTTGAATCAAGAACGAAGTATGAAAGGTTAAAGTTTCTTTTTCAGATTATTCATAATTGCGTAAAAATAAGGAAATCCGAGTACTTTGAAATTTCCTCCACCGAATCCTCAAGACATCGTCATAGCATGTACATTCCTAATCCATCTGTTAAAAACGATTGCTTTAAGTACAGTTTTTTTCCGAGGGCTATTAAAGATTGGAATATATTACCTGATTCTGCTGTGTCATCTATGTCGCTAAATTAATTTCTGGACCGTGTCAGTGATATTATTGTATGTGCTACAAACTAAAACCACTACAGCTTGTGTAAAGAAATGTTTCACAACTACGAAGTGATATTCGTTTCGTAAACTGCCGATATGACGAAGCCTCTCAATATGTCTGTAACCTTTGTGTATGCTTGCGTGTAAGCGTACATGTTTGTTTGTTATTGTCCCTTTTTTTCTCCACCCCTGTAATAGCCCTGTGCAAGGGCTGACAGTATCAATAAATGAATGAAATGAATGAATGAATAGGAGGTTCATCTAGTCACTATGTCCAATAAATATTGCTTGTATACCAATGCTTTTTACTTGGAGATTCATTCATTGAGCGTCGACATATGCTTTACGCGTAATAATGACGAGAACAAAGCAACATACTAGAAAAGTTTTGAATCGTGGAGGCGGTTAAGTATATAAGGCAGTGGAG